GCAGCTCCCAGGGCAGACTAGCTGTGCTGGGCCTCCAGGTCATTGCGTGAACATCTTCCCACAAGGAATTCAGAGAGCAACAATGACAATGGATTATGGATTTTACTGATGTTGCGTAGATATTATTATTTCAGTAACAACCATATTAATAAGCTCTTACGAAGAGTATATTCTACCAGGAACAAAATTGTTACTGAATAAAATACAGGCTTTTACAATTAGTTTGTAAATTTGTAAATTTAAGAACAAGTATTTCCTTACAGGCTGGCATAAGGAGTAATAATCACTTTGCAGGTGCCTTTCAAGTGGCCTGTTTTGGTTATTTGTCTGATGGTGCTGATGCAAACAAGGAGACTCGCCCTCCTGTGGGGGTAGCAGCATTTCACACCAGCAGAGCAATTTCTTCATTCACAGCATGCTCGTGGCAGGAGGAAGAGCCCAGAGCACAGCAGGGAAGAGGCACGGGAACGCCGTCCGTCTGGACAGGTGGCTGGTGGCTGTGGAGCTGAGCGTCATGCTTCCTCTTTTCAGCTGCTTGCAAGGGGCAGCCCCCATCACATAACACATAAGCAGTAAAGGTGGTAAAACTGCCACAGAAATGAGAGTATTTGTTGTAGCAGTTCAGCATACAAAGTACCTACTGATGTTTAAATAACCATTGCCAGGGCCAGACCCCTCCCTTGGACTTCCTGAACAGAGGTATTCTTCTTGTGGTTCGGTAGTGTTTTACAAGGTTGAATTATGAGCAAGAGATGCTTGTGGACTGACCTAGTGAAATTACAGTACCCTGCTGGAAGTCACTGACGCAAGTGACCTGCAGTGACCGTCTGCAAAGACAACCGGCAGAGGACAGAGCACACAGCCGAGCGTCTGTGCAAGTTTTTCAACAGGAAACTTTGCCACAGCCTTTCCAAGACTATGTTCTCTGCCAGGAACAACACACCTTCAAAACTGGTTCTGTAGCATAAGTGAATACAAGGCTTCAGCTAAGCATGTGCTCCTACAAACACATAGTTACACAGATGTAGTATTGATGTATGGCTTCTACCAACTGACATCTTACATTAGTTCAGAGTCACTCCTTTTTATAGGAAGCTCCAGACTGAACTTACTTTCATATATTATTGAGAAAAATTAAGAGGGCGCAATAAAGCATTTGAATTACAGACTGCTGCTTTTATGCCTTTTCAAAATCTATTTAATTACTCTGATGTCTATTCAAGACATGAATTATGCTATCATATCATGCAATTTAACCTCCTTGGCACTAATACATTTTATTAAGCAAGTCACCAAAGCAGCCTTTGTTAGTTGCCTTGTGCTGCGGACCTGGAAGGTCACTGATGGGCATTCAGATGTTGTTATCAAAAATAATCGTGCCATTACCCAGCCACTTATCCTTGCTCCCTTGCCAGCACAAGCACCTGCGCAGTCACAAAGTGAACTCATCAGGGAACTGATACAGCTGAAAAAAATGTCAATAATTTCCATGCACAAGCTGGGATGCTCCCAGAATCCCAAGGCTTTCCAGCCTTCGTCTGATGATGGAAATGCAGGCAAGGTGCCCCTTCCCATCAAGGCTGCGGGAGGAGCCAGAATCCCTTCAAGCAGGTCAGCCAGCCACAGGCATCTCAAATGAAACATCTTTATGTCATCTCCAGAGCAGAGAGCTAGCCAGAAGACAGCCCACCACTCTGAGACACTAAACCACCCTGAGCCTGATCAAATCCATTACAGCGAAGTCCAGCCGCACTCTGCTGATTCAAACTAGCTCACAAAGCATTGATGGGACAACGCAGTCCTTCAAGACTTTATACTGGCTCAAATACGGACCTTGTGGGTCTTCAAAACTGGCAAAGCCTCAGCACGAAGCAGGAGGCCAGCCATGGGCAGCAGTACGTGCTCGGCCTCGTTTGACAAAAATGCCTACGTGTGTGCCTACATTTCAATAGGATTATTTTGCACTGCCAAGTGATCTAGTAACACAGAGAACCCAATCAGCTAACACACAAGCATTACTTGTTTAGTCAATCCATTATATGCTGTTGGCAAAGACACCAGGATAACATAAACAAGTAAATCAAGTAGACACAGCAGCACAAAAATGTAGGATTTATTTTCAGATGTTTCATAATACTAACATACTGACATCTTCACATGAGATCTCACTCAAGCATTTGTAAAGTTAAATTTTGAACAAAAGTGATAAGGGTGATAAGCTTTTTGACAATGTTAGTAGGCTTTGAGATGAGGTACTTTCATTTTACAGTAGGGAATAGCTAAGTGGAGATACCGTTCTGAGATATTGCTTCATACTGGAAGACTAGGAAAGCAATAAGCCGGCCACAGGCTCCTGGGTTTGCAGTGTGCTCCTCCAGATGCACTAGATGTCAATGAATAATGAAATTTAAAGTTGCTACTTCCCAAAATGCTCCAAGTTGAATTTTTTCTTAAAGAATGAAGACAGAAGTCCTTCTGCACAAGGTCTGGTATTTCACAATGACATCAAAGTTTTTATAAAAACAGATCAAAAGTACAGTTAAATATGTTTATCTACTCATATTAGTTCTTACTCTAATCTCCTTACTCACATAGATGCTTTATGTGAGCATAAAGCTCGTCGTAAGAATTCAATGAATTCAGATGTGCTATAGGAAGCAGATAGAAAATGTAAAAAAAGCCCTATTTTTAAAACAAAACACTAGAAATGCAAGAAAGATGAGACAATCAGAACGTTACTAATAAGGCAACACAAGAAAATATTAAAGTACAAAATACTGCATTTTATTGATGTTTCAGTGAGATTATTTAGTACAGCTCAATGCTGTTAGTCCCCTGATATCAAAATTATTATCAAACAAAATGTGGCATATCCTAATGCTTTAAAAAAATGCAGCACATTTCCTTAATGCTTATAAAATCAAGAGCCAGAAATATGACCATTAAATAAATCCGATAATAAAATCTTAACATTATAAGGAATTAATCCAATCATTCACTATGTTTCCATGTTCCTGTTCATCTTGGATGCTCAAGGTGCAAATGACATGTTGACAGACATTTGGCTTTTTTTTTTTCAATGTGAAGCGGTGTAATTAGAGATGAATACACATTTCTTCATTAGTGGACTACTGTTTCACATAAAGCCAAGTACAGAAAGACTCTCATGTTTCTTTTGGTCTGACAACGACTGTTTGGCTTCTGTGCTTCAACAGTTTTTATAGTTCATCCTGCTACATGACCTACAGATCTGTGGATTAGGATTTTATTTTCAGTTTATCCAAATAGAAATCCAAGATGTTTAAGAAGGCTATTAGGTAGCACAAACTCCATAGAACTGCTAAGTATCATCACACAGGATACATTTGCTATACAGGATAAAATAAAGAGAGGAAGGTTTGCAAATTTTTTTTGTATTAACGGAAAGCTGTTGCTCTGTGACTTAGATACCAGGAAATGCAAATCCTGTGTCTCTCCTGAGCAGAATGGACATGCTGTAGCCCTGACCCAGGTCCTATATGGTAGAGCAACATTTATCAGCAGACATGCTCCAAAATTTTGTTTAGAAACCTAATATGCTGAACGCCAGTAGTTAGTTCATGTGCATCTTTAACAAAGAAAAAAAGAAACTGCAGACGGTATTAGTTACAATGGTATCAAAGAAGAGGAAATTAAAACAAGATTTACACGATTCACTTGAAGAGTAACGATCACTGAATTTCTGCTATACAAAGTGTACAGTGCTATTTTTTTAAATTAAATTTATGCTAGATTTTTTTAATTTACGTGGAAAAGTACATTTATGACACTACTTTAAGTGGAAGGACTGGATTTGACAACTACATTTTATAGAGAGACATAAATAAGTATGGCAAATGAGGATCCTTCCTCAGATCAAATCCATAGTTGTGAAGGAAAGTATGTAAGCATACAGAGGGGGAAATTAAAAACTGGAGATAAGAGTGTTAGAAAAAGGACAATACACAATAACGGGGATCAGATTGACTATCAGCATCTGGAAACAGCAAGAGACTATCTTACACAGTAAAAAAAGCCATCACAAATTATCTTTCTCCTTCAAAAGAACAAGACAGACAAAGACAAGCTCTTTTCAGACTTTTGTGTATATAGAATTTTAACGTAAAAGATACAAATTGGTTAAAATATTGCTAAGAATAGCACGAACAAGAAACAGTACTTCACTTATCACTTAATACAAGTTTCTACAGAAAAAATCAGTCAAACATCCAGACCTTGCTGTATTCAAAGTATATACACATCTGGCAGTCCAAAAGTTACTTGTCTTGCATTTAATTTAAGCACCTTCATTACACAGTGTCCTTTACTACAAAACAGCCAAACATACATTCATAACCCTAGAACTATTTTTATAATTAGCATATTTTAAAGTATTATGTCAGACAGGTGCATCCAAAGTTGTTTTTCTCTTTTAAAGATATGCAGTCTGCCTTAGTTACAGTAAACAGCTCTTGTCCATACATAATGCAGCAACTTATTTTACAGGTAATTTATTTAAATGCTTCCACTTTTACAAAATATTTTAGAAAAAAAAAGGAAATTTGCACTTCAGTTTCTCATTCTTGAAACATGCTGCTTCATGAGATAACTACGCTCTCACCCCTCTGCCCTGCAAAGGAACTGCTTAGCTTTAGGGATTGTATCCCCATCTGCCCAAGGCCTGAACGTACATCATAGTAACACTTCACACATCTACAGTGCGACTTCTGAGGACCTCCAAGTTCTTCGCTTACAGCTGTTTAAGCCTCACAACACCCCTGTGAGGTAGGTACAGTAATATCCCCAATTGACAGAACCAAGACTTTTTTGTGTGTGGCACCATCACACGTAAGTGTTCACTGATCAACAAGAGCAGCCTCTGAGCCTGCAGCCTTGAAGAAAATAGTGTTTATTTTCCTGTGGTGCTTCAGGGAGCTAGATGTTTGCACTGGCATTCTCCTTCAGGCCCGGAGGGGAGAAGGTTAAAGCAAAGTGCTAGGCAGATTGCTGCTCTGCCACCTCAGGCAGGTTGTCTTGGAATGTTTATACAAGTGGCTGGACTGGCTGAACCTCTTGCCACACTTCAGGCAGGCGTAAGGCTTTTCTCCGGTGTGCACACGGATGTGTTTCTTGCAGTCTGTCAAGGTCAAAAATGTCTTGCAGCAGATCTTGCATGCATACTTGCGCGCACCTTCTACAACCAAGACGTTGTGCTCAGATAAGGCCTTCTTGCATTTTGAAAGGACATCTGCAGATGCCCTGGTCAGCTGTGGCGGACCAGGTTGTGACGGATGTCCGTTTTCAAAAGAAGTGGTCCCATTCATGATGAGCTGGGAACTGGACGAGTTATCTTGCAGCTGGGAGCTCCTGACAGAGGTCACCACAGGCATTTTGGGGGCTATGCGGCGGTAGCCAGGAAAGCTGCTAGCTCCACCTCTTACTGAGCTCATCATTGCCCTTGACAGGGAGTGCAAGCCCAAGCCCGACCGTGGAAAATCCATGCCGAACTGTTCTGCCGCCCGGTACCCAGAAGTCTGTACACAGGGGAGACCCATCACGTCCTGCATCGGTCTAACAAAATGAGAGTCTGCAGGCTCACTAAATGGATTCTCAACATGAGAGACAGTGGCGGATGAATGGCCACCAGCAGGCCCCGACTCTGGACTCATCAGATAAGAGGCATCACTGTCCATTCTGCAGTCACTGGTGGTATTTGGAATGTTGTCATCGCTGTTTTGACTAGCACCGAAGCCACCGGCTCTGCTTTTATTTAGAAAATTTGAGATACTGAAAGTAGACTTGTGTTCCAGGTTATTTGACACCTCCATAATATGGATGTCTCCCACCCTGTCAGTACTGGACTGTGGGTCAGAAAAGCTACGATCACTGCTCTCGGGACTCAGTTCTATCTTCTCTGTGCTCACTACTCCTCCTTCCACTTCAACAGACTCGCTGCCCTCCGCTTGGGAAGTGACATCGCTCACCTCGTCTTGAGGTTCTGGGGAACTCAAGGGCTCAGACTTCACCACCACCCTCATGTGTTCTTTTTCGTTCAGACTGACCTCTGGATTCTCACATGGGAAGTTGTTCTTCTCAGAAGCAGCCTCCTGGTCAAAGCTTGTTTCCACCTGCGTTGCCTGGGATGCCATAGACATCTGTGAAATGTTTCCTCCGCTGTTGTCAGACTGGCTGGGCACTTGAGCATCTTCCTGAGCACTGAAAGACTGATCAAACATAATAGTATTATCCTCCTGGTTATCAGCAACAGCATCGGCCTTAGAGTTGTCCACAATCTTGAGTGAATCAGGAGAGAAGAAATCTTCCCGTGAATGAACTACTGACTGCCCACTCTCTGCGGTCACATCGGAAACAGACTCATCCATGGTAGGCCTGATGCGCTGCCTGGCCCGATCTTCAGAAGACTGTTTACGTTTGTGGAGACGACGGATAGGAAAAGTAGTGCGCTGCTCGATGTTACTTCTCATCGAGGAGCTCATAGTATTTGGTTGTTCCTCTGTGCTCTGAGAGGAATTTAACGCAGAGCTCACGATGCTCAGCCCAAGCTGCTGGAGCATGAAAGACCTCTGCATGCGCGCATTTTGCTCTTGAACTCTATCACTCGGTGGAGACATTGGCAGCGTCCTGGTAGTAAGGTAGTGTTTGCACGCTTTAACAACAGAGTTCAAATGTAAGTGAGAAGCAGCCAGTAAGACATCCATAACGTTGCTCTCCCCAAGCATTAGTGTGGAAGTATACATCATGTCTATCAGAGCAGCAAAAGCTTCTGCTGTCACCACTTCGCTGTCCAGCTGAATCATATTCATAGTCTGATCTCCTTCTGCTACAGTAAACAGAGCTCGGAAATGTGTGCTACATGCTGCCAAAACAGAGCGATGGGCTTTGAAATGCCTGTTTCCCACCACAATGACACAGTCACAAAGCTGGCCATGAAGCCTCTGGTAGTTGAGCTGCTGAAAGATTTGCTCAAAGTGTCCTGGAAAATCCATGATCCTATAAAACAAAACAGAAGAAAGTACAGTATTAAAAATGGCTGAAGTCCTATTCAGACCACAGCGAACCCGGGTTTTAAAATGAAAGATGGTGGCTGAAAGACAGATGAACAATAACTGATCTTAATTTACCACTGCCACACTGGTACTGTATCAAAGCTGGCAATCTTGCAGAGGAGGATGAGGAAGAAAATACAGGTTCTGCCATGGAGCTGACCTAGTATAACAGCCACCTCAGCATCAGATGTGTCACAGCCAGCTCTGCTGCAAACTGAGTAACACAGGTCATTTCATCTCCGTTAGCTCCTGTCCAAACTAAAACACACCCTTTAGTGAAACATTTAATCCTGTTTTTTAAAAAAATCTAATTGTGAATAATCTACTGTAACCTTTGATAAATTGCTCACGTTATTAGATAACCTTCCACTGAAAAGTCTGAACTTTAATTCTCATCTCATTTAATCCAGCTTCACCTTCTGCAAATGACTTTCTGCAGAGTTTCTCAGCTGCTGTGCAGAACTGTCATTCAAGTATCTGCTTTTCACATAGAAACACAGAAAAGAGAGTTAATGGAAAAGAAGGGAGACACTTCTGCAATGGAACAACTGGTCAGCTCTTATCTCAAGCTGCCACCTTTAGCTATCAAAAGTACAATGCAATTTTCTTATTCACTATAGTTTAGCAGCTGGAATGCATTGAAAGTCCTCTGTTTTCCCACAAAATAAGTAAAATGGTAGAAAGATAGAAAAGTTTGCTGACTTAAAGATCCATCTCCATACTTGCTATTCCTTATTAATCTTCTTGGTCTACAAGGAAGTTAGGGAAGCTTTTGACAAAATGATGCACTACTCAACAAGACAACTAGACAAACTCAGAAGTGTTTTTTTCTTAAATTTCCATTAACAGAACATAAGTCAAATCTTAGTAGACTCACGTTAAGACTAAATACGTGTCTTTCAGTGATATCTCTACTTTTTCTCATGACAAATCATCAAACAACAAGTGTAAGATTTGGGGAACAGAAAGGTTGCATGTATGGGGCACACACACACACACTTTTGTGTTCATGTTTATTTTTCAATAGCAATACCACAGTGTCATGGGACACAAGAAGACAGTAAAGCAGCTAAAATAAAAGGTCATACAGAAAGAATTATACTTTTGAAGAGGAACCAAATGTGAGTCTGCCAATTTAGAAATTCTGTCCTCAAATGCACACGTTGTGAACAAACCATATGCTGTATTTGTATATCTGCACGGTCACAAGCTGTATGAGTAAATTGCATAAAAGCTTCCCATAGTCATGTTCGACCAGTAAAGGAAAGTTTGCTCAGAAATAATGTTTGTATTTCAAACTCTCTGTAGGTGTTCCACTTTACACAACGACTTTGCTCAGAAGGTATGCGCAGGCCAGAGACAGCGGCTGCCAAGTACACGCATTCATTCAGAGGAAAACAGGTATAGCTGTTGATGTAGATTGTTAATTACTTCTCAATTTTGTTCACCGGGATGGACATAGATTAACTATTTACTTGCAAGAATGAGCAGAAAAAGCAAAACCTCAGAAATGCGAAGAGCTACTCCTGAGATCGCAGGCATGGAGCAACAGCAGAACGTGGCCACAAAGGTTCCTTCAGTCTGCAGAAGCGTACAGCCTGCAGCAGCTTGAAGCTCGGTGCTCTCCTTTGCTGCAAGGCAAAAGGCAGTAAGGGAGGCAGAGCAGACTGGGGACTACCACTTTTGAGACACATACTGCTGTAAGACCATGCTGGTAAAGGTCAAAAAGCCAAGCAATACACAGAAGGTCACTGATGGATTTACACACTTAAGCATATGTAAGCAGGCAGCTGTAGAATTAGAAAGATCCCTGGGCTTCCAGCAGCAACTCAGCTCAAACTAGAAAAGCACATCTGCAATGTTCCCCAGCCTTGGATTATCACCATTTACATGTCAAGGGAAAGTGGAAGGATTCTTGATCCTCTTTTATAAAGGATACACATCTTTTGAACTAGTTCAGGAGTTATTCTGCAAGCAGCATGAGATTAGTTTTCTCATTAGGAGATGAAGTTAACACACGCTGTGTGTGCCCCCGCTCCCTGCACAATAACCCTGCCTGCTTTACGCTGCACCCCATCACACTGAATCCCCCCAGGCCCCAGAGGAAGCTCAGGCTGGGCCTGGGGCTGAGCAAGGTTTCCCAGTCACACCATCTGCTGGCAGAGCAGAACAAGCACAAGCTGAACATGTGCTGGGTTCTCCATCCAGCGAGGGTACAAAGCTAGGTCCCCCTTTTCTACTAGGCCCGCAGCTATAAACGTTGTTGGACTTAAAAACACTAAGTCTCCTTAGTGAAAACTTGCCAGTGTCTCCAATAGCTATGGAAGGGATGGGCAGAGCAACCGTGCTCTGTTAACACTTCTTGTGACTAAGTAACAAAGTTTTGCGCTGTCAGGGACAGGAGACTACAGACAGCTATTGGGTAGGTAGATGCAAATACTCTCCTTTTTTAGCCTGGTTGGGGGCTACTATGGACACTACTGTGTGATGAACAGCTACCATTTTCTGATTCCCAGGCTTATGAAAGCCCTTAGGGGCAACGTGGACAAAGGGACCTGCTCAAGTTTGCAGCTTTTGCTGCACTTGGACTGACATCGGGCTACATAAAATTAAGGGCATCGGTAGTATAGTAGGCAAAGAAATCTGAATTCATGCCAGAAGAGGTGGCAACAAAAGCAAAGACTAAAACCATTAGGTCACAAAAAAATCTCACGAAACAGCCCCTGCCTGCTCAGCTGCCAGGCTGGAGCTAATGTAAGATCAGCTGCTGTTCCCCAGCCAAGATGCAGCTGGCATTCATCCACCTCCTCTGTCTCTAAGGCACATGACATACACTTTGCAGGTCTTTGCTGGAGAAAGATTTCACCATCTAGTCCACTGGACAAAGAACCTTGCCCCTTTCCAAAGAAAACAGGCTTGCAAAGAACCAGTTTTACCTAAACACCAAAAAGCTGAAATGTCTGCTGGCAAAAATCTGTTGCCTCCAACTGTAATTGGTTCCTGTATATTTTAAAAAGAAGAAATAAATAAATTACATTTTATGCCTTCAAGCAATGATGATGGTCCAGGCTTACCATGGCATCAAAAATCCCCTAATTTGGCAGCACTAAGGCTATGATGCCTGAATGCCTGAAATAAGCACCGTAATGAGATTTAATTAAGTACTGTCACAGTCTCCCTTATCTCTATAAATGAAGTTATGTAATAAATCAGAAGAATTTGAGTTTGCCACTTTTTTTAATAAGAAACAGGAATACAGATAATAGGTGATTTTATTTATGTTTTACTACTAATGCGTATTTGACAGTAAAAATAAGACGAGATTTTCAAACAAAAAAATGTTAAACAAGACAAACTTTGCAATTGCAGAGTTTTTATTTCTACACGTTTTCTGAGAGAAGTCTAACATGAGGAAAAGTGAGGAAATGCTTCCTGATGATTGCAGAAGGCAGGAGGAACAGAAGAGCAGACCCTGAAACTCACTGACCTTGGGCAGCAGGACAAAAGGAAGATGGGGAGCTTATGACAAGAGCCACAGGTCCCGGCAGGAAGTGTCTGGAATGTGGCAGAAGCCAGGGCTGCTTTGTGAGCAGTGCTGCTATGTCGCTATCTGCTTTCACTGTTCCTGCACATCTGGTTAAACTCATGCCCTCCTTTGTTCCAGCAAGCTCCGTGCAGGGATGATCTCCTCTGTAAGGAAAGCTGCCCTCCAGACAGGCGTCTCTGGAAAGTTGAGAGGGGACCACCAAACAATTCTTCATTTATCTTCTTTTGCTCGTTTCTGACATGGGCTAGGTGTTAAGCCAGAGCTAACACTCTACCCTTGGCTTGACAGGACTAAAATACAGGATCTAGGGGAAATTTGGAAAAAGGAAGAAAAGGAGATGGGGGGGCTGGGAGGGCAAGAGTTGCCAAAGCAACAAAGTAACAAAGAAACTCTCTCCTTCAGTCCATTTAGAGAACCTAGCATCACTATAGCATCAGTGTGCTCTTGGGGGGCCTGGATGTTGGTTGCTTTTCTTTTCACTTCACTCCCCAGTCAAGGGCGACAGCTCCAAGGAACAATTTCACAGTTGTACAGCTATATGCAGGGCTGATCCGCAACAGTGTACAATGCTACAGCTCACCGGCAGACACCCTGCAAAACGCCAGGCACCCACCAAGCAGGAGAGCCAAGGGATCTCCCTTCCCTAAGGACCAGAAGTGCAGAACACTGGGGTATTAATTGCAGTGACTTCCCAAAATGCAGCAGTGTTGAACCGCAACCACCATCACCTACAAAGGCAGCTAAGATGGGAGCACTTTGCTGTGCCCCATCTGCAACCAGGAATAAAATTGTTCCACTTGTACATCACTGCAGAAAGCACAGGGCCTAGCAGAGTCTGCTCCAGCTTCAAGGGTCATCAGAAGCAAGCTGTTCACAAGCACCCAAGCAGTTCCCAGTCTTTGCGCTGCTTTAGGTCATTTTAGGAAACACACTGTAGAAGATATAAAATACCTGAGAGCTCATGCATTGCTCTTCCCAAGCCAATCCCAGGAGGTGGTGTGCTTCAGAGGGCTATGTAGCAGCACATTCGAACCAACGTCCAGAGAAGACTGGAGGTGGAAAACGCCAAAGCACATGAGGACAGGATTTCACATCAGTAAAAGGATTGAGCTGGACTCCAGAAAGGAAGATGGGTTTCAGGGATGGTCCAAGGTATTTCCGCCTAGGCAGCAATATGTATTTGAACCAGAGAAAACAGGCAAGAGTCATTGTTTTGACCAATGATTTGGGACTTCAGAATTCAGAGCGAGTCCTTGCTTACAGTCACCAGAAGTGACTGCATCCTTTGTGCACCTAAAACAAGACAAACCCTAGTTTTGCTTCAAATAACATTAATTTGGCTTAGTATTTAACTTTTACTACACCATAAAGGCCGAAGTCCTCGAACCAGAATCAACAAACACAGACCCCACAGTGAAGGTCCGATCTTGTACAAAATCAGTTGAAAATTATAAAACTAGATTTGAGTCATATATATTGCATACTATGCACAGACCACGTTCGGTGAGGTATCAGCTACTTCAGCTTACTAAATACATGCAATGCATCTAAGTCAACATCGGAACATATATGAGTGACTTATTTCTGGATATGCACATTTGGTCTGTCTTCCACTCCTGCTTCAGTGATACCTCACCTTTCAGCAACAGCTGGCCATAAAGACTCCCCTGAACCACCTGTGGGCTGCACATCCCCATCATTTCCCTATCAAATGACTCAAACATCTCCAGTACGTGATGGGTGGCATCCCATCACACAGTGTGAGAATGCCTATTCGGATGAAGGACAGAGATGCTCCCAACAGTAGTGAGTGGTTTCAGTAGCCAGTCTCTGCAGCCTTCGTGAGGCTAACAGCCAGCTCCAGTTCACATCCCAGGGACCCAGGGAATGTTAGATGAAATCTTCCGCTGAATCAGATCCAGTCAGTGGGACTCAGGGGAGGCATCAGTAGTACAAACAGCAGACATCGAGTCCAGCGGCCTTTTGGAGAGCAGTGGGAAAGGGAACAGCGTACTTCTATAATCAAACAAATGACCACAAGTGAAAAGAAACTATACCAAATTGTTTAGCTACAAGTAGTTTTACTATAAATACAAATAGTCAGAGCCAAGAAAATTTTAAGGGCAAGCAATGAAAAAACATCTACGAAATCCTGACTGGAGAACAACCATTCTGCCTGTCCCTGGACTAAGGCCTATAAAATGAAACCAGCAGGGCCAGAACCAAAGAAACACTCCATCACGTAACACAGTAAAGCTACTAAACTCCTTGCCATGGGCAAGTACATGTGAATTCAACAGCCATTACATAGATTCATCAAAGAAAAATCAATTGAGAGCTATTAAATATTCAGACGTCACCTCTACCTGGGGAAGGCACTAAACCACAAGTCACTGGACGGATAGTTTTATATATACTTACCTCTCTGGCTCTCAATTTTACAGCTTGCTTTGGTATTTTTGGAAGAGTTTTAGGAGAGAACTATGAATTTTTTTAATGCAAGATTGATTTGGTAAAAACGAATAAGGAAGCATTTTGTCCTAACATTTTGATTATATGCTTAAAAGGATAATTTACCTTTGAATAAAAAGTGTGCTCAGTAAATATTTAAATACTTAACTTGCCTCTTCACTGCTAGAGGAAAACATACCACAACAGATCCAACGGCTCAACAGAGACAAGGCTGCTGCTGCTAATCGTCCCCAGAAGGAGAGTGGGAGAAGACTCATTCCCAGCAGGCACAAATGAACAGAGCACCCGTATACGCTATGAGAGACACTCAGCACTCACACAAACACAGGCAGCAGCAGATGCCTTGTCCTGCTCCCCTCTCTGGCAGAGCAGGATGGAAGTCCACCTGCAAGAACATACATACAGGCGTACAAGGTGGACCCCTCCAGCAGCTGGCCCTCCCAGAAGTTGTCCCCTGGGTCCCAGTCTCCCCATCCCCAGTCTGCAGGCATACGAGCCCCAGAGGCCACAGCCTAACTCCAGCTGCCAGTACAGACTGTCACAGGTACGCAGAGCCAACCAGGACTCCCAGGTGACCCTCCCATGTTCTCGCCCCTATAGACACAGGCGCTCTCACACGCAGAGCTGCCCTCAGGGACCCAGGGACCCCCTTGCTCCCCCGCCACTTCACCAGCTCATCCAGGTTGATCTTCGCTGGCTGCCATTGCCTCTCCAAGCTCCCCTGGGGCTGTGCAGAGGAGCTTGATCACATAACTGAACATTCATGGTGGCACGCAGTAGAATATTCTTCATAATATGTGGCTGAAGATAAGGCTTAAATTTCTAAAACTAAGCCTTCCATATTAAGAAAGCATCAGGATTAAAAATACCTAATTGGGAAGATGATGTGCAAGTGTTTTGAAATTCTAGGAAGAAGACCTACAATTTACAATTACACAGCCTTGTGTTTATTAATCTCCCATTAGTTATTAACCTCAGAGTCTGTCAACTCCAACCAAATTTGAACTGAATTAGATACTGAATTCCCACATTTTTTGTTGAAGTTGGTGTCTGATTACAGAAGAAGCCAAATTTATAAGGACTGCTTCTCAAAGAGTCATAATTCATTCCCTTATTCTCTTAATCAACACAAAACACCAAAAACCAAAACCAGCCAGCTGGCCAGTTTGCACACACAGCTATGAATGAGCCACTCATACTGCCACCTGCCCAGCCAGGCAGGTAGGAAACACAAGGGACAGCTGGTAACACAGTCACATAGCAGGAGAAGGGACACTATAGGTTTTTCCATAGGAATTCATGTTTTATTAGCACATATTTCTATTACTTTTAATGCTAAAAAATCATATGGTTTCTTTCTACTTCTTGAACGATTAGCATTGATAATACTATGTAGACTCTCAGCCCCTATTTCCATCAAATCCTTCTGCTCTAATACTTAAGCTGCAGCAAGATGGGACAAGGCAAGTACTTAAGTACACTTGCACTGAAACTACTGCAGAATCAAAAACTTTCCTCTCGCTTCTTTAAAAAAAAGTTAAAGTTAACTCACTATAAAATAGTGTGAAAAATAACAACTCTGAATAAGGATCTATTTAAAATTTTATTACTATGTCCAATACTAAAGAACAGTTTAGATTACACTGCAACCCTGAGCCACTGTCAAGAAGTCAAACATATGTAGTCAAACAAACAAAAAAAATCAAATGCAACATCAAGTTCCCCTTAAAGAAGCTTTTAAAGTTTGCAAAATAATTGATTTTGTGTTACTACAACCAACAAAAGTTGCCTCAACTATACCACTCAGTAGAACGATATAAGAAGAAATCTCACGTACAAATACATTACTGAAAACTTTAGACTACATACTTGTTTTCTCTTTATCAGATAAATGAAGGACAATTTATTACTTGCACCTCAAACCCCATTCCCAGCAATCTGTGTTTAAATGCATTTGATACTCCAGGTACCAAGCCTGCAGGAATCCCTGGCATATAGCCAAAACTTGAGAGTGTGCCAATATAATATTAATAACTGTTTGCCTCTTAGATTAAATTACATTTTACAAAACATTACAATACACTTATACTGTGCTTAACCATTGTGCTTGAAATAATACATCTCATAAAAAGCTCCCCTGAAGCTTGAAATACAAACATAAATCTACATACGAGTCAGTGATACAAGTGTTATTTTAGGAAACACTTTCTACTATCAGTTATGTTGGTCTTTTAGCAAGCCAGCAGGACAGTGCGAGGGTAGAGGCAGGAAGAAATGGAACTCTTCACTTTCTTCGGCATCTTCAGCAAGTTTTGTCACTTTGAAACACGGAGGTATGCGTTCTCTGCCCTGAGAGTGTTTTCAGACTGAATGTATGGTGTAATTTTAGTGAACAGTAGTTAAAATTATTTCTGGATTTGCCCCATACAACTAAAGTAGACTCCAGTGTTACATTGCTTTCGTGTATGCGACAATACGGTGAGTGCCAGCCATGAAAGGCATTTTTTATGTGTGTCTGACAAGTACCTGCAACTAGTGGCTTTGATGACTGACAGTTGAGCTTACAGCATCTCATTTGAGGTGTTTCCTTAGCCAGGTTTTATACATAGTTCAATTCACACAGTTTATCTCCCCATTGTCAGGGAGGGTGAGTTACAACTTGACTAAGAATCAGAAAGGATAAACTGCACTGCAAAAGCTGCTACTGGTTCCATCAGCCCTCCAGAGGAGAGTAAGAGATTAGCATATGGCTTAGTATTTTTTCATCATCTGGTAGGTAAGGTAAGGTATTGCAAATAGATAGTCCAACCTATGGCAACACCAACTCATTAATAAACAGCAACAGCACAGCCTGCCAGCTGCAAAGAGCATCTTTGAAAGGAGCAACAAAAAGCTTCCTTAAAAAGGCTAGATTTTTCTTAGACACTCTTGGTTATCTGCAGAAACAGACACTACCTGTGCCATGGCCATCCTCCTGCTTCCTCACATTTCCACTCACCTCCTCCCGGCTCTGTGATGCATCTCTTGGTCTCCAGCACAGTGTGATAGTTCAGAGGAAGACACACAGGAGGAGACTGAAATGTGACACTCCTGCATTTTGATGTGCCATGTCAGCTGAACAGACTGAACACTGTTTCCATATAATTCCTAGTTAAGCCCTTCATCATTTGGGCTTCAAAGTCAGTATCATAGCTTTCACACACGTCAGTCTCTCTCAAAAGAGCTGACATATTCCTTTCTGGTCAACTTACAAATGCACAGTGTTTTCTAGGTATCGATAAGAAACAGGAAAAGAAGATCCTGGATTCTATTCTTGATCTTATGAAGCTAAAAACTGTATCTAGATATGAGAAAATGTCTGTTCCCAAGAGCACAATGGATTTTTAGGCATTGCACAGTGAAACACCTGAAGAAAGCTCTGTGGGCAGTATCACAAACTCAAAAATAATTTGACTTATTTACAAAGGGAAAAGCAGAGACTCCCGCTACACAGAACTGGCAAGACAGCCATTTAAGGGCATGAGAAGACAAACTGCCATCAACGAGGATTGATCTGAACTCACAGTTACGTTACGAGTTCAGAAAACCCCTCTTGAGGGTCATGGTACCATGGCAGTCTCTGTCACTGCCATCGTCCTCTCTCAAGAACGCCCAGCGCTGCAAAGGAAATTCAGTTGCCAGCTTCTCCTGCCTACTATCACCCCCAGTCCATGAATCAAACCACAAACAGCACATAGAAGCAAAGGTCTGCAGGCAAGGATCCCAAAGCAAAGTGCAGCTACAGATAGCTCAGCGCCAGCATGATGTCTTCTTGCTCAATATGGCAATCATTTCTAAATCTAGCTCTTCAAACTTCACTATTTACCAGAGATTCAAGAATTTTAAACAGCCCTGTCCAACCATCTTCCTTAGTGATTCGTTTGCCTAAGCTTTTAATCCCAATGAAACCAGGGTTAACTGCATAATGAACAAATCTACTTGTGCCAGGAAGTGGTTTAGATTGAAGTAACAAATATTAGTTTGCCACCACCACAATGGATTCATTAGTATTATATGTCTTCAGCCTAAGCAAATAACTATATCCACATAACTGATTCAACAGATGACTACCATATTTCAAATGAGAACTGCTGAATTATCCGCGTCTGATCTTCCCAAACTCCTTTCAAAAACTCACCTTCTAACATTACCATTTTACCCTCAGAAGGGAAAAAATCTACATGGATGC